AGGACTTGTATCGCTAAAGTTTCTTCGGAAAGAATTTTTACGGAAAATGAACAAACGAACAGAGACGTAACAGTATCATATTACTCAATTTTATTTTTCCTAGAGAAATCTAACATGGAAAGTAATTTAAAATAAAGTATATGTAACTGTTACACTGATTTAATATTTACTGATCTTTCACAATTTTTAACTGACATTTAATGACATAGATACGAATTGATTTACAAGAAATAAAATATTTATATTTAATCTGACATCAATTTTATGCTATAAAAGGACTGTCACACATAATCTACATTTCTCTTGAATTAAAGAAACCAAAAAGATTACATTTCAAAGTTTTTGATGTTCATGATACACTCAGACATTAAAAGCGCCATCAATGTCAAAACACGTAATACCTTTTTTTTGTTTGTTTGTTTGTAACAAGAAATAAAAACAACAAAGATGTCTTCGAAACTTGTTTAGACACACTGAATTAGTGAGAATTCTGTTATTAATAATTATAGTTTTGTTACTTCCAAGGTAGAACTTCGATTTCGCTTTGTTAATTAAAAATGCTCTCAATAATTGATCTCACATAAACCTGGAGAAAAGCAAGCCTGAAACTCGTTCTTTTAGTTATATGAATTAAACTATATGTAAAAAAAAAAACATTTAAATAAAATACAATATCCGAGACTTGGGTTAAGAACAAATTAGGTAATTAATTAAATAAGTACAGCATATTATACTTACAAACAATTTTTTGGTTTGTTTGTGCAAAACACCTTGTAGCGTTTTCTAACATTATTAATGTGTAATATTTTAATGCATGTTTGAACTTCTTAAGTATATATATATATATACACACTAGAAAATATGTTCAAATTTCTTAAGCGTTATTAGTGCAATATTTTAATTCATGTTCGTAATGTTCAGCCTTATTGGTGTATAATACTTTAAAACATGATCGAAACTTCTTCAGCATTATTAGTGTGTAATACTTCAATACATATTCGTATTTGTTCAATATTATTAATGTGTAAAATTCTGATACGTGCTCAAGTTTCTTCAGCATTACTAGTGTGTAATACTTCAATTCATCCTTTTTTGTGCATTTGTAGAATTCATTATAATAAAATATAAAAAAACGTGTTCGATGAATCGGTATCAGTGAGCTTCACACCACCCTGGAGAAAATATTCCGTTCCAAAACTTGGGGTTTCCATGGTCATTGTCTGGTGGATCATCTGCTGGCACCATTGTTGCACGATGTTCCTCCAAGCGGTGAATCATCTTTTGTACTCTGTCCGGCAACACGTGAACCAAGTTATACCGCTCTGTGGGATCATCTACGAACATTTAACGATTTAGTTTAAAATCATCAACAAATGTCGATAATTCTACAGAGGGAGGAGCTGCTCATCTTCTTGTTTAATCTATTTTATTTTTTTACTTTCTGCAGAATTTTGGTATGGATTAGAAATGACTCCAATTAAAATTTATCAAATATCATACATTCACAGTGGTAAACTTTGATTGGCTAAGAGTTTCAATTAATACCTGATTGGAGAGATTTCGTGTTAGTTTCAGCTGTAGAACGAGGAATCCTATTGGTTCTCGTGTCTTCAGCACTGCCGAAGATCCGGAAGTTTGCACTGCTCGACTGTCTCTTGATGATGTTTTTGAAGAAGTATTAGTAAGTATTGAATAATTATCCAACTACTAACCAATCTATTAATTTATCAATCTATCCCATGGCCAGGTGGTTAGGGCGCTTGACTCGCAATCTGAGTGTCGCGGGTTCGAATCCCCATTCCACCATACATGCTCGCCCTTTCAGCCGTGGGTGGCGTTATAACATGACGGTAGATGTTCTTCTACGAATAAGCAGCGAACTGTCGATCTCACCTAATTCAACTCACAGCGAAAGCTTAAGATCTTTATAGTGCTGATGGCACGAGAACCATCAGAGACTCTTCATCCTGCAACTGAAATGACTTTAAATTCACTGATAAAAATATGATGTGTTTAATTGAAACATATATTGATTTCTTTACGCCTGTATGAAATTACATTGCGACACGCCCATATAATCCTGTATTATTTTCCTACCTTTTAATGCTTCACTTCTGGAAATTAATACTCCTTCAACTTAAAAAATACAAGTTCGTATAATTCAAACCAGATTACTCTAAGTTTAATAAAACTTATACAAAATTTGGAAAATACCATAACTGATAACCTTACAGTTATAAGAGTATTTCTAACTTTTTTTTTTACTTTAATTTACTAAAGCCATAAGTATAATTTCAAATTTTATTTTTTGCGTCGATGTTTCTGGCTAGTGAATTAACTTTCTCGTTTCTGATAAATATTATAATTTTAAATTTTGCTGTCGGCGACAGTTCTAATTAATATTTATTTAAATATCTTCAAATAATAAAGTAGGGAAATATTAACTGTAATTCTGTGGATTATGTTATGGGGAGATATTACACACCTACCACGGATATTAAATATTACTCACTCACCTTCCATGGATATTAAATATTACTCATCTTCCATGTACATTAAATATTATACACTTACCATGTACACTAAATATTATACACCTACCACGGATATTAAATATTACTCACTTGCCTTCCATGGATATTAAATATTACACACATACCATGTATATTAAATATTACATTCTTACCACGCATATTAAATAATACACACCTTCCATGGATATTAAATATTACACACATACCATGTATATTAAATATTACACATCTACCATGTATATTAAATATTACACATCTACCATGTATATTAGATATTACACACCTACCATGTATATTAAATATTACACACCTACCATGTATATTAAATATTACACACCTACCATGTATATTAAATATTACATTCTTACCACGGATATTAAATATTACTCACCTACCACAGATATAAGATGTTACACACCAACCATGTATATTAGATATTACATTCTTACCATGGATATTAAATATTACTCACCTACCACAGATATAAAATGTTACACACCTACAATCTAACCTATTTTAAAGCCAGTGTATGTCACGTCACGCTTGATTTCTCGAAATAAGAGGAGTCATAAAAGCCAAAATGCATTTATCCAGACAGAATATTTCGATTACTCTCCACCCATTACGATTTTAGTGACAGGGATGAAAGGGGGCCGTGAGGGGGGGGGGCGTGAAACCTTATAAGAGTAGTGAGTGGTGGAGTCACCTAGCCTAAAGCCAAGTGCATAAAATTTATCATAAAAGTTAAAATATCTATTCAATTTCATACTTAAATCGTTTCTGAAGTAAGCTATATTCTTTTTAAACTAACATTTTGAATAATAATAAACTTCTTTAATCAATGAAGAGTATAAATTAATAAATCAACAGTTTTTTTCCAGTTTTGTTATCTATATATTTCATTTTATACTTTCAGTACGTAGACTAACAACAATATTAGGTTATACGTTTGTTGGCCCGGCATGGCCAGGTGGTTAGGGCGCTCGACTCGCAATCTGTAGGTCTCGGGTTCGAATCCCTGTCACACC